TTAGAAAATATAGTAAAAAAAGAATAGGAAGAAAGAAGAAAAGAAAAGTGGAAAAGAGAGGAACGAACAGCAAATAAGGGAAAAGTCATTTAAGAGGGAGATAGAAAAAAAAACACCTAAGTAGACTGGAGGAACAGGAAAACAGAGCATATACAAGTCAAGACACAAGGTAAAAACGGTTGAAGATTAAGAAAGATCTATACTTAAAATGTTAATACTTGTTCAAATAGGAAACAATTAAAACTAGAAAAGATTACATAAGAAAATGCAATCATTAAAGTCTAGAAAAAGAAGGGGTTTTTTAAGAGTCTCTTGGATTACTTCACCACGGATTTTTTTACTAATATATATATATATACATATATATATATATATATATATATATATATATATATATATATATATATATATATGTGTGTGTGTGTGTGTGTGTGTGTGTGTGTGTGTGTGTGTGTGTGTTTTCTTATCTTATCGACCCTAGTTTATTCATATATTTCTTTTCGAACTATGAAAGATATTTACAACTCTGTTAAATTACTCAGCCTTGGGTGAGTATTACCAGACATTTTAAATATTGTCCTCAAACCTAAAAATGATATTTTGAGGTGTAGAAAACATTTTTAGTTTTCTCCTTCTATATACAAAGAGGTTAACGTAATTCAGTATACTCACAGGCATATATTCTTGAAATAACAATTATGAACAAACACTCTAACACACACACACACACACACACACACATATATATATATATATATATGTGTGTGTGTGTGTGTGTGTGTGTGTGTGTGTGTGTGTGTGTGTGATTTAATTTTCCGTATTTTGTCCTTGAATCTCAGAATTGGGAAAAAGTGCGCTCCAAATCGATTGTTCCACTGAAGAATGAAAACAACAACTCAAGGACTCCTTTTTCTGTTTGGCTTGCATTTCAACTCGAGGATTTTCGCATATTTCAAAACCTCTTCATGTAGATATTTTTTCTTCAAGGGCGGTTTAATAACATACATGAAAATAGCCGATAAACTTGAGTGGGAGCTAAAGAAATATTATTCTGAAAATGTCCACTCTACCACAAATGCGTACATAAACACACACACACGCCCAAACACATACCAGCAGAATTGTCCACATCGTGTAGACACCAAATTGTCCATTTGTTAGATTAAGTTGTGGACCGTTGTATCTTAGAAATGATTAAAGATATCTTACTGGAATTCTCCGAGGATTCTTTAACACTCTTGGACTCTACGTTAGCAAATAAGAATGTATAATTACTCTCCTTGTTTTTATTAATTATACAATAGATTCGATGTTTCGACAAGTATCACATTCGTTTTCTCCCTGGAAATTTTACCAGAAATTACTTGAAGTTGTGGAATAAAAAATAACATCTATGGCTGAAGATGGTGAATGTTTTCACTGAATGTACTTGCAAACAATATGGAACGAACTAATGTTTGCAAGTACATTCAGTGAAAACATTCACCATCTTCAGCCATAGATGTCATTTTTATTCCTCAATTTCAAGTAATCAATAGTACAAATAATAAAAACAAACAAAAAAATAAATGTATAAATAATGAAAAAAAATTAAAAAATGATAAAAGTAAAAACGAAACTTAAGTCGCACCTCAAACGTAGCTATATATATATATATATATATATATATATATATATATATATATATATATATATAAAACTGTTTTTCCTGTTTTTGACAATTTCTTCCCTTTGTTTTTTCTCCCATGTTAATAATAAATCGACTTTAGTCGTAGTTTCTCGTATACTCTTAGGCTGTTGTCACTTTTCGAATTTCGTTAATATTCTATTTGGGTTGCTAACAATTCTATTTATGAGGTGTTGGCCGAAGAGTTTAACTTTAAGGATTTACAAGTTCTATGGTATCAAACTATATATATATATGAATATATATATATATATATATGAATATATATATATATAAAGACATTTTTATGTTTATACATTCTTTTTAAGTAAATGCTCAAATATTTAAGTAAATGCTCTGTTTATAATAAACAGTATTAAACAACATTTACAGGACTGAATGTCCGAGATATCTTCACGACAGGATTCGAACCTGTATCCTATACGGGACCGTCATTTAGCTTGACGTGCCTTTAACCGATTTGGCCACAGAGGCGCGTTCGGTTAGCAAGGTCGAATTTACTGTATTTGAACTTCAATCTTCTATGAATCGCTCATGTACATTCATGTCTGCTCATGGCGTATCAAATGTAAACAAATGACATCATGTATTATGAAATAGACAAAGTCCGACAATTATTTTAAAGACATTTTCATGTTTATACATTCTAACAAATATTTCTCGGACATTCAGGCCGTTAAATGTTGTTAATACTGTTTATTATAAAAAGAGCATTTACTTAAATATTTTTATCTATAAAAAGAATCTATGAACATAAAAATGTCTTAAAATAATTGTCGGACTTTGTCATTTTTAATAATGTGTGACGTCATTTGTTTACATTCGGTATTTATCATTTCACCCACGAGAAACGAATATGGCACAAGGCCGGTTTAATTGCCCGTAGGCTCGGCCAAAAAAAATAGCCTTTGAAGCCGATTAGACGGGTTCAGGCCCTGTCTACCTCCCCGGACGAAACCTTCACCTTCGGCAAAGCCTCGTCCGGGTTCCTCTCTGCTAACGCAGAGAGTTCGACAGGAGGCGTGCGCAGTCAGAGACCGCTCAACACCATTTGTTTACATTTGATACGCCATAAGCATATATAAATGTACGTGAGAAGAGTCATGGAAGATTGAAGTTCAAATACTGTAAATTCGAATGTGGTGTCAGTGGTATTGAATCCTTTCTGATGCAATCACAGTTCAGATGGGTTGGTCATGTCATCAGAATGAGTGATGATCGGATGCCGAAAATCCTCATGTATAGCCAAGTTTTTCACGGTAAGCGTCATGTAGGCCGTCCTTGGTTACATTTCAAAAATAAACTTAAATACAATTTAACTGCTGCAAACATCCCTACAGAGGAATTCGAACTTGCTGTTGAAAACCGAGCAAACTGGAGAAATACCCGCCACCGAGGTATAACTAAGTTTGAAAAGAATCTTCTCAAGCATCTGAGAGAATTATGAATTAACATTAAATCTCGGGCTAATACATCAAGCGACATGACGGTCAAACCTTAAGTATGCCCTTCGTGTGGATTTGTTTGCAAATATCGTATAGGATTGTTGTCTCATACGAGACATATATATATATATATATATATGTGTGTGTGTGTGTGTGTGTGTGTGTGTGTTCGTGTGTGGATAGTGTGTTCACATCAGAATGTCACCAGTGCGTATAGTTGGTAGGATAATTATTTTCATCGGAAACCCAGGACATATAAACGAACTGAGTCAAGGTTTAAAAGGAATAAGATATTTTTAATTATTTTTTTACGGGGTGGGGGCGATGAGTGGGACCTGTGATATTCGGTGTAGTAAAAAGTTCGTTAATGTGGCGGATGTTGATCGTAATCTGGAGAAATGTCCGTATATCGTTGTTTTGAAGTCAGAACCCAGAAAGGTATAGTAGTAATGTATTGAATTAGGTCAGTGATTATCTACTGCGTTTATTCTCGGCTCTGAACCTCTTCACTGTTTCTTCAAGCGCTACACATGGCTGCGTTCTTTTGTTCCGTGTTCTCCTGTCGTTCTCTCCTACTAACCGAGAGATCTTGGTTTATATCCTTTTGAATAAGTTCAGTGATTGCGATGGGAAGTTTTGTTTCGGCTAATCATCAAAAATTGTCTTTGTGTCAGTTTTTTTTTTTTTTTTGTTTTTGCTTGGCAAAATTATTTTATTTTCGGGCATCCCTTTATTTTTCATTTTGATTTTTTTTTCAACGGAAGTTATGCGCGGAGCCTCCTTGATTTTTGGTATTTTTCAGTCACAAATAAGTAGGCTCTGCTTCTGCAAACATCTGGTGTTTTGACTGGGTCCAGTCTTTTTTCTTCTTCTTCTTCTTCTTCTTCTTTGAGCGTTGACTCCTCATTGGTTGAGAGAACTATAGAGAATTTTCGAGAGAGAGAGAAAGAGAAAGAGAGAGAAAGAAAAAGAGACAGAGAAAGAAAGAGAAAGAGAGAGAAAAAGAGAGTGAGAAAGAGAAAGAAATAGATAAAGGTTTTTAAAGCAGAGCGACATTTTTAATTTGAATTCTTTGTGGCACCATTTACGAGGCAGAGAAAGAAAGAGAAAGAAAAGAAGGCAGAAAGAAATGCGAGACGGATCATAGGTGATAAAACAGCCACACACATGGCCTAAGAAGAAGAGGAAAAGAAAGAAGGAACCAGATGTGTTTTGATAACGGCTATGTTATCTAGGTACGTAAACGAATGGCTAGACCACTGGCCCAAGAAAAATTCAAGTGAAAATGCTATTTCGATAAGTAACGAGAAACAGGCCACTAAAAAAGACTTTGGACAAATATGAAAATTAAAGACCACCTACGAGTAATCGTTGACCGATTTTCCTACTTGGCCTGCGCGAATGGAATTGTGTTATCAAGAAATGTTCGCCAAAGAAAGTCCACTTGAAAACGTTAATTTTGATAATTGACAAAACACAGGTGTAGCTACAGAGCCTTAGTTAGATATGGAAAATTAAAATCCCACACAAGCAGTCTCGCTAACTAAATTCTTTTCAACAAAACAACGTTGCCCTGGGATAATAAAATGTTGTTATCAGACACATGAACCGAAGGAAAATGAATAGAACCAGAAATGTTTTTCTTTCTTCCTTGGAGACGCCAGACTGACTGAAAACTTGGGGATAATTCTTTTCTGAGGCCATATCGGGAAAACCAACCATCTTGAGGAATTAAAGATAAACTACTTGACAAACGCCACGTGTTGAACAAAGAGTTGTCATATTATCCGTTCATGATTTGAAAGGAAGAAAAAGGAAAGAGAAGAGATAATTAATTTTTCTTTTTTAGTTAAGCAAGGTATTTTTTTTCCGAAACAACGCCGCGGATTGTTCACGCCCGACTAAGACGTCATTGGTCAAGTGGTGATCACGTGACGCACGAAGGAGGAGGAAAGATACCCGACCAAGACCGCATTGGCCGAGAGTGATCACG